ACACACACACACACACACACACACACACACACACACACACACACACACACACAGCTGCAGTTTGACTCATTTGTTGTGTTTTATTCTTAAACACAGATTCATCTCAGTGTCGCACAAACAAGGACGAAGAGCAGCTCCACTCCTCCTCCACATCATCACTCCATCCTCCTCCACTCCTCCTCCACATCATCACTCCATCCTCCTCTCTCCTCCTCCATCCACTCCCTCCCCACTCATCTCCATCACTCCACATCTCACTCCATCCTCCACTCCTCCTTCACATCATCACTCCATCCTCCACTCCTCCTCCACATCACTCCATCCTCCTCCACTCCTCCACTCCCCATCCTGCCTCCTCCACATCACTCCATCCTCCACTCCTCCTCCACATCATCACTCCATCCTCCACTCCTCCTCCACATCATCACTCCATCCACTCCTCCACACATCACTCCATCTCACTCCTCCTCCTCACATCATCCATCCTCCATCCTCATCCACCTCCACTCCTCCACTCCTCCACTCCTCCTCACCATCATCACTCCATCCTCCTCCCACATCATCCTCCATCCACATCATCACTCCATCCTCTCCACACTCCTCCTCCCATCATCATCACTCCATTCCTCCTCCACTCTCCTCCTCCTCCACAATCTCACTTCCACTCCTCTCACTCCTCAGTTCCTCCTCCGTTCCTCCTCACACACTCATCCTCCACTCCTCTCAGCACCTCCCCTCCTCCTCCTCCTCAGCTCCTCATCCTCCTCCTCCTCATCCTCCTCCACCCTCCTCCTCCTGACACTCCTCCTCTCCTCAGTTCCTCCTCCTCTTCCCCTCAGTTCCTCCTCAGTTCCTCCTCCTCCTCCTCAGTTCCTCCTCCTCCTCCTCAGTTCTCCTCAGTTCCTCCTCAGTTCCTCCTCTCCTCACACAGGTGTGAATGATCGACATTTACACATGTCATTAATTACCGCGGTGCAACATTTACCACTTAAAGACCAAAGTCCAGCTCACGGTCGTGCGTCAAATCCTCTTAAATGTTTTAATTCAGAGTCAAATCGACGCAGACGAGAAGTTCTGTCATTTATCGTCTTCACGTCGACTCTACACACTTTTCCAGAGCTGCACTTTCAAATCCAGATCCATAAATCAGAAACGACGGCGACAGCGGCAGAGAAAGACGAGAGACAGTTTGTATTTTTACTGTTAGAACGTCAAAAAAACCTCCAGACTTTAGATGTGACGAGAAGAACCAGAAGAACCAGAAGAACCAGGAAGAACCAGAAGAACCAGAAGATCAGGAAACGTCGTCTGAACAAACAGGATTTAAACGGAGTCGAGTCGGACCTGAGTTTAATCTTCTCAAGATTCACACTCAACTTTTACATCCTGAAATAAATCGAAGTTTCCTCCAGATCGAGTTTGATCAGAATCACAACGACCACGAAAGAACCAAACACCAACTAAACACTTTACTCTCTTTTTACTCTCATTACTCTCTCTCTCTTTTCTCTCTTCTCTTCTCTCTCTTTCTCTCTCTCTTTCTCTCTCTCTCTCTCTCTCTCTCTCTTCTCTCTCTTTTCTCTCTCTCTCTCTTTTCTCTCTCTCTCTCTCTCTTCTCTTGTGTTTTTTGTGTAAAACTCGTCGTCCGTTTTTTCGTTCTGTGTTTTATGTTTGTGGTTAAACTGAGTCTGATTCCTCAAACAAAACAGGAAACCACAAGCCCCCAGTACAAATACTACAAATACTACAAATACTACTACAAATACTACAAATACTACTACAATACTACTACAAATACTACAAATACTACTACAAATACAAATACTACAAATACTACTACAAATACTACTACACTACAAATACTACACAAATACTACAAATACTACAAATCTACACACAATACTACATACTGCAAATACACACACAATACAAAATACTACAAATACTACTACTACAAATACTACTCAACTACTATACACAAATACTACTTACAAATACAATACTACAAATACTACAAATACTACTACAAATACTACAAATACTACAAATACAACAACCCACAAACCCCCAGTACACCTCCAAATGCTTACAAATACTACTACCAAATACTACAAATACTACAAATACTACTAACAACCCACAAGCCCCCAGTACACCTCCAAATACTACTACAAATACTACTACAAATACTACAAATACTACAAATACTACACTACAACAACCCACAAACCCACAAACCCCCAGTACACCTCCAAATACTACAACTACTACAAATACTGCAGTACAAGTACTACAGTACAGCTGTGTTCAGTTCTCACTCCTCACAGTAAGAAGGTCCCTGGTTCAACTCCCGAGTTTTTCTGTGTGACTTTGTGTGTCTCTCTCTCTCTTCTCTCTCTTCTCTCCTCCCTCTCTTTTCTCTCTCTCTCTCTCTCTCTCTCTCTCTCTCTCTCTCTCTCTTCTCTCCTTCTTATTTCTCTCTCTCTCTCTCTCTCTCTCTCCTCCCTCTCTTTTCTCTCTCTCTTAGTCTCTCTCTCCTCTCTCTCCTCTCTCTCTCTCTTCCTCTCTCTCTCTCTCTCTCTCTCTCTCTTCTCTCCTCCTTATTTCTCTCTCTTCTCTCTCTCTCTCCTCCTCTTTTCTCTTTTCTCTCTCTCTCTTCAGCAGCACAAACAGAAAAAAGTTTAAACAAACAGTTTTTCATTCGACTAAATTGTTTCCATGTTTTTACCAAAAACACCTTTCTCTGCCCACTTTTCCTCTCTCCCTCTCTCTCTTCTCTTCTTCTGTCGCTCCCTCTCTCCTCCTCTGTTCTTCTGGTCATGTCTCCTTTCTTCTCTCCATCCCTCCTTCCTCTCTCTCTCTTCTTTTCCCCACTTTTTGCTCTCTACCCCTCTCCCTCCTCCCCCTCCTCCCCCTCCTCTCCCTCTTCTTCCTCTTCATCTCCTCCTCCTCTTCTTCCTCGGGGGGCAGTTTATTTCGAGTTTCTGTGTCGACTTTTATTGGACCCCCGGGACGCGCCGGAGCGAGAGGAAGACGAGAGGAAGACGAGGAGGAAGACGAGGAGGAAGACGAAGAGGAGGAGGAGGAGGTAAACGCCGCGCCCGATTTAGAGCGACAGATTTGGGTTTCGGCGCTCGGAACGTTTCCCCCGAGAGAACCACATCCAGAACCTGCGTGACGGGCCGAGGTACGAGTCTGTACGAGACTCCGCCCCCACGCGACAACTCTCCACCAAATCTACAGATAATTCTAAAACTGAAATTTTACTTTATTTTATTTTAAATTGTGTTTGTTTAGGCGACATTTCCCGTTATTCTGTGTCTTAACGTCAGATTTAAAGTCGACAGGTCAACAGGCTCCTCTCAGATCACAAGTCTGTACAAACAACACTCACACCGGCTCCTCTCAGATCACAAGTCTGTACAAACAACACTCACACAGGCTCCTCTCAGATCACAAGTCTGCACAACAACATCCTCAGATCACAAGTCTGCTCACACACTCACACAGGCTCCTCTCAGACAAGTCTGCACAACAACAGTCCTCTCAGATCACAAGTCTGCACACACTCACACCGGCTCCTCTCAGATCACAAGTCTGTACAAACAACACTCACACCGGCTCCTCTCAGATCACAAGTCTGCACGAACAACACTCACACCGGCTCCTCTCAGATCACAAGTCTGCACAAGCAACACTCACACAGGCTCCTGCTCATCACAAGTTCACACCGTCAGATCACAAGTCTGTACATCCTCTCAGATCAACAAGTCCTGTCACAAACAACACACATCACACCGGCTCCTCTCAGATCACAAGTCTGTACAAACAACACTCACACCGGCTCCTCTCAGATCACAAGTCTGCACTGATAAGTACAGCTGTAGTTTTGTTTCCGTCCTAAACTTTGCTGAAGTTCACTTTTATTTCTCATCAATGTCGTGGATCAGACACAAGAGCGTTTAAAGCAGCCTCTTTTTTGTTGTGCACGTGGGATTTTTTAAGTTCGGTACGCGATTCGTGACATGATCCGTCCCCGCGAACTCACTTTCAGTACAAACATAAAGGCCCAGTCCAGTAAAAATCTGACATATTTGATGGTTTTTACCTAAAATGATGCAGAATCAAGTTATTAACATTTACACCGTTACAGAACATCAAGAATAGACTACAACACATGAACCAGGACTAAACCAGGACTAAACCAGGACTAAACCTGGACTAAACCAGGACTAAGGTCTAAACCAGGACTAAACCAGGACTAAACCAGGACTCTAAACCAGGACTAAACCAGGACTAAACCAGGAAACCAGGACTGGAACCTGGACTAAACCAGGACTGAACCAGGACTAAACCAGGACTAAACCAGGACTAAACTAGGACTAAACAGGACTAAACCAGGACTAAACCAGGACTGAACCAGGACTAAACCAGGACTAAACCAGGACTAAACTAGGACTAAACTAGGACTAAACCAGGACTAAACCAGGACTGAAGCAGGACTAAACCAGGACTAAACCAGGACTGAACCAGGACTGAACCTGGACTGAACCAGGATTAGTCTTGGACTTGAGAGTGAGATAGAGTTTAGTCCTGGTTTAGCTGTGTTTAGTTCCTGGTTCAGTCCTGGTTTAGTCCTGGTTTAGACCTGGTTTAGACCTGGTTTAGTCCTGGTTTAGACCTTGTTTAGTTTTTAGTCCTGGTTTAGACCTGGTTTAGTCCTTTAGTCCTGGTTCAGTCCTGGTTTAGTCCTGGTTTAGTCCTGGTTCAGTTTCAGTCCTGGTTTGCAGATTTCATGAGTCTGTGCAGGTTGTTTTCAGGTTGGTTTTAAGTTGTAGTTTTATATTTGTTATTTTTTTTATGTCTCACGTCGGGACAAACAACTGCGCAGATAAATCTTGGTGCAGCGTCACTTGTGAGGACATTGATCTGTGTGTAAACTGGATTAAATGAACAGAATATGGAGAGTCTGAGGTATCGTGGGAGGGCATCTGGAGTACCTGTCTTGAAGACCTCGTAGCGGATGGAGAACCCGGCTCCGTGCGTCTCGTAGTCGGACACAAACTTGACGGTGAGCTGAGAGCCGCTCGACACGATCGGAGACGGAGCGATTTTCCCGCAGAACTTCCCGATCATCTGAGCTCCCTCATCCCCACCGTTATACACCTCCACGAAGTCGTACCTGAAGAAGGACACAAACATGAAGTACAAGTACACACAAGTACACAGAGTACAAATACACAATATACACCTCCACGAAGTCATACCTGAAGAAGGACACAAACATGAAGTACAAGTACACACAAGTACACAGAGTACAAATACACAATATACACCTCCACGAAGTCGTACCTGAAGAAGGACACAAACATGAAGTACACACACAAGTACACAGAGTACAAATACACAATATATACCTCCACGAAGTCGTACCTGAAGAAGGACACAAACATGAAGTACAAGTACACACAAGTACACAGAGTACAAATACACAATATACACCTCCACGAAGTCGTACCTGAAGAAGGACACAAACATGAAGTACAAGTACACACAAGTACACAGAGTACAAATACACAATATACACCTCCACGAAGTCATACCTGAAGAAGGACACAAACATGAAGTACAAGTACACACAAGTACACAAGTACACAGAGTACATGAAATACAAGTTATACACCTCCACGAAGTCGTACCTGAAGAAGACACAAACATGAAGTACAAGTACACAAAGTACACAGAGTACAAATACAATACATGATATACACCTCCATGAAGTCATACCTGAAGAAGGACATGCACGTGAAGTACAAGTACACACAAGTACACAGAGTACAACAAGTACACAAGTACACACTACACAAGTACCTGAAGAAGGACAAAGTTATACACTGTAAAGAAGTCGTACCTGAAGAAGGACAAAGCCTGTAAAGTACAAGTACACAAAGTACATGGAGTACAACAAGTACATGTAATACACAAACTACAAAAAATACACAGTCATATCTGCAATCATAATAAAATATAAAGGTGTGTTTAGTCCTGGTTTAGTCCTGGTTTAGTCCTGGTTTAGTCCTGGTTTAGTCCTGGTTTAGTCCTGTTTTTTTATGTTCCACAGTACAGCATTAAACCTTTGGAGACCAAACCAGACCAAGTTACAGGTCAGATCTGTGGAGAGGGAGCGGAGAGGGAAGGGAGGAATGGAGCAGAGAAGAGAGAGAAGGAACGAAGGAGAGAAGGAGAAGAAAGAAGGAAGGAAGAAGGAATCAGAGAACAGAGAGAAGAGGGAGAAGAGAAAGAGGAGAGACAGGGTAAAAGAGAGAGAAGGAGCAAAGGATGAAGGAAGGAGAGAGGGATGATAGAGGAGAGAGAGAGGAGCGAGGGATGAGACAGAGGAGAGAGAGAGGAGCGAGGGATGAGACAGAGGAGAGAGAGAGGAGCGAGGGAGGAGACAGAGGAGAGAGAGAGGAGCGAGGGATGAGACAGAGGAGAGAGAGAGGAGCGAGGGATGAGACAGAGGAGAGAGAGAGGAGCGAGGGATGAGACAGAGGAGAGAGAGAGGAGCGAGGGATGAGACAGAGGAGAGAGAGAGGAGCGAGGGATGAGACAGAGGAGAGAGAGAGGAGCGAGGGAGCAGAGGTGTGGGTCGATTGGTTCTTAACGAGGTGAAAGAATCGCTCCCAGAGGAACCTGAAACATCTGCTCCACATCTGGACTACACATGCTTCCTCTCCTCCTTTCCTCCTCTCCTCTTTTCCTCTTCCTCTCCTCCTTTCCTCCTCTCCTCCTCTTCCTCCTCTCCTCCTCTCCTCCTCCTCTTCTCTTCCTCCTCTTCTCACAGTTCCTTGTCTCCTCTCCTCTTTCTGACTCTCTCTTCCTCTCTCCCCCCTTTTTGCCTCCTCTTCTCCTCCTCCTCCTCTTCCTCTTTTCCTCCTTTCCTCTTCCTCCTCTCTCTCTCTCTCTCTCTCTCTCTCTCTCTCTCTCTCTCTCTCTCTGTCCGTCTTCTGTCCATCACATCTGTTCCACATCTGGTCTCGTTCTTTCCTCAAACTTCAGAATTACACAACAAACTGACGGAACTTTACCCCCGAAGTCCACAAAAAAACCCCACAAAAAACACAAAAAACACACAAAAACACAAAAAACAAAAAACAAAAAAACACAAAAAACCCACAAAAAACAAAAAACACAAAAACACAAAAAACACAAAAACATAAAAAACACACAAAAAACAAAAATATCTCTGCTACAAGTCTACTACAGTCACACAGTTGAGCTGAGGCCCGGTTCACACTAGTGTGTAGTGTGAGTGGTGGTTGGTTCACACTAGTGTGTATGTGAGTGGTTGGTTCACACTAGTGTGTATGTGAGTGGTTGGTTCACACTAGTGTGTATGTGAGTGGTTGGTTCACACTAGTGTGTATGTGAGTGGTTGGTTCACACTAGTGTGTATGTGAGTGGTTCGTTCACACTAGTGTGTATGTGAGTGGTACACTA